GTTATCTCCTGAAGCACAAACTGGCCTGGTGGAAAAGACTTCTAAAAGTGACTTGGAAGAGAAACAGCCACTTACTCCAGGTTCTACAACATGCTCTGCTGAGGGAGAAAAACACAATTCAGTTGAACGAACTCCTTTCAGTAACTTCCCGGTTTATAGCAGACAATTAAACATGTCTCATCAATTCAGCCACTTAAATGTACTCACTCATCAGACTTTTCTGGGAACAACATATACAATTTCTTCTGCAAATCAAAACCAAGAAGGAAGCAATTATTTTCTCTCTGCTTACAGTCAGAGCATGGATACAGAAAAGCCCTCATCACCTGGTGGCTGGGACAGCAGCTGTGATTCTTCCAGGCCATATTCAGAACAGAAATAAACACTTAAGTCTCTTTTTCTAAGTTGCTGTGGACTTCTCAGTTTCTAAAATGTTGGATTAACAATTTCTATTTTATTCTGGAGCAGAATGTTTCTTGTTCTTGTTATCTCAAATGTTTTCTTGTTCTATTTAAATTCCTGATGGCTTGTCCCTCTTGGAACCATCTGAAAGTTTAAATAAATATATATTTTTTAACGTTTACTGTACTTGAATTATCTTGTTTGTTGGCACTTTTAAGTTTCTACATTTGTATTTGACCTGTTACCTGGGCTTCAGTTTGAGGTCTGTTTTCATGTAAAACTGAATGTTTGCCTAAAATATGTGAAAGAGCCAGTTTTTTCTTTTTTTAACTGTAAGAGTATCCAAGTCACTTTTCTTTACATAAATATTAATGTATTTATTTGACATTGACAAAACTTTTGTATAATGTTTTTACATAGCTCTAAGGCAATGTAGTTATTTTCATGACTATATACTGGATTTTGGCTAAATACCTCAATTAGAGTAACCAATGGTGCAGTTCCATTACAAAAATTGAATAAACTCTTAATGCACAAGGGACTTGCTAACACCTTGCATTGTCTGTGGTATTTTTGTTGTTTGCAAAGTATGGGAGAAACACCAACACTTGGCTTCATGCACAGAATTGTCAGTGTTATTGGGCACCATTGGTGTCCTTATAGCTTTTATCTGGCCATTGTAATTACTGTAATGAGAGGAGGACAAACCTGCCTTTAATGACTGTGGGAGTTCAATCTGCATTGTAAAACCTCGATCCTCTCCCACTTCAGCTTAATGATTCCTGGGGCTTTCAGGGGTGTTTTGGTTTTGGTTTGTTATTTGTTTTGTGAACAAGCATTGGCATAAGAGTTTTATTTGTTTCTTAATCCAGTCTTTTTTCATTTCACATCCGGTGAGTTGTAAACTCCCCCTGCCCCCCCCCCAGTCTCTCTTAATTGCCTCATTTTGTCCATCATCTCTGACTCAGGTTTCTGGAAGGCAGCAGCTGTGGAGTCTCCAGATGACCCTTGTCGGACCCTTTGGAGTCGACCCTTTTACTGTATTGCTGGTTTTACAGAGACTCTTGTCTCTATTGCTTGTCTTCAGGTTGTCCAAAGTCCTCTGGGGGCTTTTCCTGGTTTGTAATTTGATTTTAGTGCTTTTGTGCAAAATGTGCTGTTTGGTACCAGATGATAGTGTTTAAACTACATTTTTCTAAACTCACAAAATTAGTTGGGATAAAGATTATTGGTTAAAAAAGGGCAGCTTTTAAAAAATGAACAAACAAAAGCCATAGACTTTTCCCTAAACTTGAGTCTTTCCCTCTGTTAAGAGGTGACTGCCTTACTTATTCAAATTAAGAACAAACCAGTACCAGACTATAGTTGTTACCCTCCCCCAAAACATGGCAAATAAATAACCATTTTAGAAAAAAAGAACTCCCTTGTATTCACTGTATCAGCCTAAAAGGTGGCTGAATATTTAAGTACAGGCAGTATTTTACAGTTAAAAATACTAACAAAGACCACCCAAGCCATTCATACATCTTAATCTTTTTATTTATCAAAATACACACAATTGAGTTCTACAAAACCCCATGTAACAGTTTTCTTCTGTGTTTTGGTGGTTTATATTAAATTCACTTACATCTTGAAGACCATTCTGAACAGACACACCACCATTAGTTTAATGTACCTTCAATATAAAAATGTGACCCTGTAATCTATCAAAATTCTCATAATTTAAATTTCATAAAAAAAGCTAGAGATGGTTCATAATTATTACAGTAGCAAAGTGCTGTGCATTTACATTTTAAGAATTCAGGACATTCACATGTACCTCTCAAAATGGTGGAATGAAGTTCTCTTGAGCTACAGTGGGAATCAGAGTGTTCTCCAACTCCTTCTGCTTCTGCAGGAGGCCCTGGAATACATCAAATACAAGGTGAGTGTTCTGTCCTCCTCACACAGCCTGAACTAATGACGTGTCACTGTTTCATACCTGAAAACAATTTACCTGTTGAGGCTCAATACTTTTTAAGTACCCAACTTCAGAAAAAGCAGTACAAACTCTCTGTGCAGAGGAGACTTTGCAAAAGACTTGAAGTGTGACTGGAGTGGAAGCCAGTCCAGTTTCCAGGGATGACCATGCAGAGGGAAAAAGGACTTCACTGTACATAACTGAAGCTCACTCCTTTGTGTACTGTCTCTGCATTCACATGTTCTACTGTATTCTTGTATGAAGCTGAACCCCAAACCTTGATGGGTATCAGCTTTTAGTCTCAACATAAGTGATACTTAAGATCAAGGGCAGCATTGCCATTTGTACCAGACCAGTGTCAGACATTTCAGGATATATACATGTATTTACTGTCAAAAGGTTCAGGGGTCCTGCTTTGCTAATGGCTCTTCTAAGTACTGAGGAAGGAAAAAATCCATAAGAAAAAAACCTCCTGGAAGTGTACCGTTGTCTTTTAAGTACCACATGATAAGGTATGGCAAGTATGTTCATAAATTTAAAATGTCTTTTTACTGTAATTAACAAGATCATATATATATATTGATACATCTGGCACCTTGGTCTCCTTCTATTTTAGACCTGTCAGAAATAATTTGGTAGCAAGGAACTTAAAAAAAAATAGTATTTTTCTCACAGTTACAAGAGCTTTCTCAAAGATAAGGGTTACAGGCTGCTGGCACAGCTCAGCACAGACCTGATGCAAGGCAGTGGGTACTACAAGAATTTAGACACGTATTCCTGTGGCATGGAAGCAGAGCAGCCTGTTAGACTTAACTTGGGATCCTTGAAAGGCAGCAGGTGCCTACTTTCAATCCCTTGATGAATTGCTTCCTAATTAATCAACAGTATGTGCTATTATTGTTAATGGGTCAGTGCAGCTTTCAGTCCCTGTGTAAATAATTACTTCTAATAATTAGTTTCTTGCATTTAGTAGCACGTTACAAAAACAACTCATAAAATGAACTGCCCTAAATAAAGCAAGAGCTGAGAAACAAGTAACATTGAAAGCTGACAGTTCAATGTTTATCACTTGGTCTGCAGAGGTAATAGAAGGACCTGGAGCACAGTAATGTGGAATGTTTACGGAGGGACCAGCAGTGAACTCTGTCCTCCCACAGCCCAGTGCTGGCCATCGTGGGCTACTGAAGTGCCTTTATTGCCTTAGGAACATTAAGGTGCTCTGGTATGTACTGACCTGGTGTGGGGGGTGTTCTCTTTTTCTTAAACTTTGGCCCTTCTTTTTCACAAATAGTTCGCTTTGCTGGGCTTATCCACCGATTTTCGATTTCAGTGAGGAAAATTAAGGCTGTTGCTTTTTCCTATTACTGCTGTCACCTGACATAGGCAGAGACTTGTAATGAATGCAGCAAGACACCCTCCCTTTGGCAGGGGAAGGCCTCCTGTTTTCCCTGGTGTCTTCAGTTCCTCTGGGCTGTTACTGCAACAGCCCAACTGTAATTATCCATCACTTGGGCTGGGTGTGGAGTGCAAGGCCTAAAGACTGGTCAAATATTCTGTGAATTTTCCCAGAAAAAGAATGCTAAAGAATGGTCAAATATGTTGTGAATATATATATATACACACATATATATATATTTTGAAACTACAATCCACTATATATATGTATATATAAATACAAAACCCAAGACTAATCATCTTCTGAAACAAAACTCTGCTCGTTGTCTAAATTGTATTTCAGACAAAATACTGCACTACTCATTCTTTCTCAGTGAAATAAATGATGCTAAACAGGTGTCATCTGTAGGAGTACACAATACTTAGATATACAAATATACTGAAGTTCAACAGTTCATGTCCTAAATGCATTCTGCAGCTGGCAGGGTATATTTAAAAAAGAACTCCACATGTTTTAAATTAACTCTCTTGCAGAACCAAGATCCACTGAAAGACTAACCTTACCATTACTTTTTAGCCACTGTTAAGACTTGAATATTTACTATGCATCAAAAATGTAAACCTCTTTAAATATCCACACCTTTTGTTCACCTCAGCAAGCAGAAGGATCAAATTGTGCTTTGAATCTGGCTTCACTCTTAATCAAAATGCCACTGGCAAATGAAGCCTGAATACAAAATACTTAACAACTGTAGATATTTAACAAAAATGTTAATGAGCATTGGGGAAGACCAGATCCAGTCCAGCCCATCTGGGAGCTGTTGGAAACAGGCAGCTTTTCACTGTTCTTGGGTCACAACTTTTCTTCCTCAGCTGGGGTGTGTTATGACTCTTCCTTTGCACAAGGAATTTACCTGCAGCTGATACACCACCTGTGCATGGCAGTACTTCTGTCTTGCTAAAGCACAACAGGTAAGCCAGGTAATCAATAACTACTGTAATTTTGGTGTACTTCAGTCTGTCAGATTTTCTTTCCTTTAATTATTTATGAAATTTTCCTCCCTCAAGGAAGAGGAAAATAAATACTGCTGCTAGCAAGAAAGCACTTTTAGAATGGAGCCATTCAAAAAGCAAGGGAAGGGACTGACAGATGTTTATCTTCAGTGTTCTTCAAGAACCAAACCAGATCTAAAGTAAATGTGTTTTTTTGTCTTGCAGCCCTGTCAGACCATTTAGAAGCACAAAAGAGAACAGCTCATGTTCGTGTCCAGACCTGCTGTGGGCCACACCTTGTTGCCAACAGGTGGAGTATCAAATTCACGGGTGTTTTAGTAACTCGATACCATTACCAGTAACTTAACTACAAAGAGAACAACATATACAAACACACACAGGCTTTTGTCTCAGGAGTTCGTGTGTCTGTAATATTGAACTAATTTTATTTTCAGAAAATCTGGCTGATTGACAAATCCTGAATTTTCTTTTTACATGCTAACAAATAGCTGTCTTGGAAGGATTTTACAAGTGTTTACACTTCCACTTTGCAAATATACAGGATTTTTCTAGGACTGACAACCCTTCTGCACCAGCCCCACTGCTCTGTTGAGACTCACTCACACAGGAACTACAGAAGGGAAACTTCATTGACAAGGTTCTAGTGCTGTGTTAAAACACTTTCTTTTGAAATTCATACACTCTTACTACAGACAACCCTAACTATGGAAAAAAAGCCATTTCTTTTGATTTCAGGTTTTCTCAGGCACTCCACTGTTTCATAGCTAATCTAAGGACTAAGGAGCCCATGGTGTGACTGTAAGGACTGTCCAAAAGTGGAAGGCAACATGAGAAAAGTAAACTTATTAAGAGGCAACAAAAGTAGAGGACAGGACCCAAAACATAAATTATATGATGGAAAATGAATTAAAGATTGTGATAAATAATTGAGATTCGTGAAACAAATGGGTGATTACATCAAAACAAAACAAACAGATTGTAAAACTTAATTACCCCCCATAAAGAAATAAAACAGACCCTTACAAGGTCAAGGAGCCCTAAAACCTCCCTACTATCCTAAGAATAAAATATGGTAGAACTTTAAATCTTTAGGCGCCTGTTCGTCCAAGAATGCCTGAATTATGACCGGTTGTAGAGATAACCATTTAGCTTTAGCTGTAAGAAAACCCATATATTAAATGCTTAGCAAAAACCTGTAAAATGTATATGTATATGATATAATTAATACGCACAAAGTAGCTGAGATAAATCCCAAATGTACACTGTAGTGTGTGTGCAGATTTGGGAAATTTGTCCCCATTTCTGTCACCCAGCTGGCTGCTTGCTTTTACCATTTAATAAACTCTTATTCAAAAACTTATAGAAACTCGAGGCTTTGTTTATCACAAAGATTATGATATATAATAGTTTTGCTATATTCATTTTTACTTAAGTATATATGCATGTTTATCCACTAAGTTGTTGCTTACCTGGCGTAATTTTGACAATCCTTTGAGAATCGCTTGTTGTCTCTCTCTAACTACATCAGGATTTAGAAGAGGATCTCTAACGTGATCTGAGCTAAAAATCTGTCGTGGCATCTGGTAAGAATCTAGAAGTAAATGTACATCAAATCAGTTAACAATACCCTTTATTAATTTTAATTTTGAAGCAGTAAGTTTTCACAGTTTGTGAAAATCAGGTTTTGGTTGCTATCAAGATTATAATCGCTGTTTTTAAGTTAAACACTTAGATTCCTAAAGCCCAATCTATATACAATAATGCCAGAGAAGTGCAATCATGCTTCATTAAAGGTAAACAGCTGAAAAATAGAGATAAAATGTTCTTTTGGTTGCTTTTTTGATTTTTTTTTAAACATTTGTTGTGGTTGCTTTGTTGGGTTAACAGGAGTATCATTTGGTTGCACAGCCTTTGTGTGCAGGGCTGTGACCCACGTGGATTACTACAAAATTCTGTAAAAACAGACATAAAATTGGATAAAACTGTAGCACTGTAACATCTCTTCTACACAAACCATTTCAGTACCATGGAACTGTCGATACTGTGGGTCGTGTGTTGAAGGTCTGGTCACTGGTGCCTCTGGATCGAGATAATACACTTCGTTGGTTCGGACGTACGGGATGAACTGGGCCGAGGGAGGCCTTCCAGCCTCGGGGACTGGAGCAGGGGGGGAGCTCCTCTGCTCAGCATCTGCCTTGATGCTTTTCTCTCTTCTGCTACTGTTGTTATGCACCAGGAAATTAGAAGCGTGGATCTGTCTCTGTTGTACTTGGAGTAACCTGTTCTTAACCGCTGGGACGGGTGGTGATTCGGATCTGTATGAAACAACTGCAGTTAAGAAAAGCCCAAACAATACTTAAGTAATGTAATGAAATTTTCTCAACTAGCAGAGGCAAGGAATCCTCAGAGGACAGGACTTTTTGTTCATTTACTCTGCTTTTATAATTGCAGTCTGTCTGGTCATGTGTATTTTTAATAGTAGACAATTAGATACATCTAAAAAGTCAGGAAAGAAAAGCAAATGTATTTCACTATTAATGGATTAATTTTATTAATGCGGAATATTGACGTACCTTTCTTCATTCAAGTGATTCTTATAAAATTGTTCTTCCTAGGAGAAAGCAAAGTCAAAAGTAAAACCAAAAATCTCCACGTTTTTACATTAAAAGCTTTGATTTTTCAAAATGAGTTTGTTTTGAAATTCCAAAAGGACTATTTGACCTGGGTTCAGCAGAAAGGTATTTATCAAAGATTTGCATTAAAGAGACTTGCAGTGTCTATGAACTAAATTAAGCAGATTATAGGAAGATTTTCTTCCATTTTCTATGTCTTTGGCAGCTCTAAGCATTCAAAAATACTATATAAATATTTCTATGTCCTTGGAAAGCTGCATTTATAAACTGAAAGGTTCAACCCAAGGCAATGATTATTAAAGGAGAGGTCCAGGTTTTTTCTGTTTGAAGGTGTTAGAAACTGAGGTGTTTATGCATACAGACAGTGAGCAAGGGGGAGAGACACAGAAGGCATGATAGTATTTGATAGTATTTTCTTTAAACAATTTTTTTTTCCAGCCACAAGCTATACTGATACATGCTTATTGCAAATGGAAAATGATTCCACTAAGAAGGATGCATTTCTGTGACAAGAGAGTACATCCTCAGTAATCCATATTCTCTGCAGAAGTAAACACTGTTTTCTGGAGCAGGTACTCCTATACCTCACCCACCACCACAACATAATGACTGCACACCAAAGAGCAGGTCAGTGCTGGCCTGCACTCTGCTTGCAATCAAGCTCCCTATTCACATAATGGATCAGTGGTAGTGAATAAATGAAAAGGAATCAACACTTTGGAGACTGAAATAACAGTAAAATCTAATTCACAAAATTCAAATATATTCTTCTGCTCATGATGAACAAAATAGGGGTTTTAATACAAAGGGCAGCAGCAGGCAGATTGCAATGCTTCAGTTACAGAACTGAACTCCCACCCAGGTAAAACTGTGGAACAAGAGTCTCAAAAACGCACATCACTGTTGTTAAGTCCCAAGCAGTTACCCACCTTCCTGCCTCTGTGCCCCTTATTCCTCACAGCTATTTCTTCCCGAGGTGAGGGAGACCTGTCCAAACACCCCCCCTTCCTTGCCCAGAGGTGCCCGGGGGTGTTTCTTTCCATCAGCTGAAGCAGCTCCATTTGTCGCCTCACTTTGTTTTCTTCCCTTTGTTTTTGTAGTTGTTTAGGGTATCTTTCTGATGCTGGAATGTATCTTTTCCCAGGCTTGTTTATGTTCCAGTCAGGTCTTTTGCTGTATTTTTCTGAAGATTTAATTTGTCTTTCTTTTCTGGCATATTGGTCATATAGGTCACTGTAAGTGCCACCAGTCTCTTTTCCTGATATTTTATTTTTATCTATATACTGCATTTCCTTCTGGTATTTTTTGCTGTTAGAGGTTTCTTTATATTCTATAGAAATATCAGGTGATTCGCAGTGCACAGTTCTTTCCTCAGCTGGCTCAGTGTATGCTGAAGTATTAAAGTAATCTAAAAAAAAAAAAATTGTATTGTAACTCTAAGCTATTCAAATTACTTGACTGACTTCTGTATGCATATCAATCTACAATTATGATTTTATTCAAAAATGACTGTTACAGTTTTTTATACAGCTTTTTTATTCTTTTTTTATGTGGAAGACAGATAGCACCATAGAAGCAAACCTAGTAAGGAAGGGGAAAACCCCAAAAGACTGGAGAACAAAATCAAGTCACTGTAAAAGAAAATTTATGTAAAATGAAACAACATTCTTTTAAAATGCAGAATTCTACTTCTGTCATGGTACCCAAAAGTAAAGAGCAAAACACAGCTTCTGTATAGTTTTCCAGCATGCCCATGGTTTGGTCATACAGCACTACTGGGAATAATTAACTTTCCTAATCCTTGTTGTCCAATGGAAATGATTTGTTCTATTTTTAAATTATTAACAATCCAGCTTTTTTCTTTACTAAGAGGCATTCATAAAAACATTATTTAATTTGTAAACTGTCCAAATTCACAGTAAAATTTCTACCAGCACTGTCAAAACCAAAAATATTATGTTGGTGCTTTGGCAAGCAGGAATAAAATAAAGCTTGCACTTCCCAAGTGACAAGCTAATACAGTTCTACATACAAGGCATACATAAAATGACTGGAAGTTTCCACTGAATTTGCTCATTCACACCACATCTAGAACATTTAAAAAATGCAGACTAACTTTGAGCTGGGTTTTTTAACAGTGTGATACAAAACCAAGAAGATGAAGACTGGAATATGTTCTGTCTAGATGGACCTACAATTCTCTCTGGGTATTTAGCAAGAATGTAAACATTTTCTAAACATCTGAATGTAAGCTCTCATTTTCTAATGAGTTTTCTAGTTCCAGAATTATTGACAATGATTCCGCCAATATATTCAAGGACACATTAGAAAAACCTCAGCCCTGCTCGACACCAAAACATATTACATAAACCTGGGAACATTCACACTGAAGAATACTACAAATACATGTTTAAATGCCTTAATAAATTTGGGCCTACGTGGCTTGTGACTCTAAGTCAACCCTGTATTCCAGACTGCGTGATTTGAATCTGTAACCGGTAAGTACCAACTATACAAATATATAATTTCTTTAGAAGAATAAAGTGATACACTCTAATATACCAACATGCCTATGTCTGTGCAAGTATTTCCTTCTAGTTTTATTCCATTCTGGCTCACAGTGATGTCACAAATCTGCTGCCTCTGCCTTTGCTGAGGTACCTCAGAGCCATCGGTCGTACCTGTCTGTACAGCGGTGTCCTTCCGAGGAGAGACCTGCTGCTCTCTGTGGCTCTGGACATCATCACAAAAATTGTTACTTTGATGTGAAATGCCAGAATGACAACTTTCACACTGCGTATCACCTAAAAAGTTGTAAGTAAAATTGTTCCATTTAGTGACATATGTTCAGTTTAAACCGTGCCGTTGAGTTACCCGACGATGGTGGTGTTTCTTTATGTAATACAGCACCTGACACTTACTCAAATACAATATTCACCATAGCAGTCAACACTTGTATTTATTTGGAAGGTAAATAAATTGTAATGAAACTTGATTTGTGAAAGAGCCATTTCTGACCCAAATGCAGACAGAGAAACAAACCCAAAAAAACCCCAACCCAGAAACAACTTGCTTTCAAACCCCAAAGAACAGGCAAACTGAGTAGGAGAAGGCTTGTACTTGCCACCACCAGGATTGTTCTGAACTTTGGAAATGTCATGTGCCTTCTGAGCCACGTCTGGAATGTGCTGTTCTTGTTTTAATCTCTGAGCTAATTCCTGAGCTTTCTCCATTGTCTGATAGAGCTCTTTGGTTTTAAGAGTTGCGAGTTCCTTAAAAAAAAAAAAAAGGCAAATATGTGATCATTTAGTTTGAGAATAAAATTAATAGGATTATTTAATCCCCATGTAATCCTTGAGGTTTACATATATTGTTACTTTGGGAAAATGTTTTTTTTTCCCCAAAACTAAAAGTAGTTGAGTAAATGCAATATGTAAATTCAGAACCTCTGCTGTACTAATGAAGGTTGTTCAATCCTAGCACAGAAAAGTGAGCATTTAGATCCTACAAGTTATTTGGATATTTATTTCCTTTCTAATAAATTAATCTTTTTCTAGAAGCCATCTGATGTCAGCAGTTTGTGGCTTCCTGTATCATGTGGTTTAATGAAATGAAAGAAGCCTAAATAAAAATAATAAACCCACCTTCGTCCTACTTCCACAGGAGACAGTAAAAACTCCCTAACAAATGTGAGGGGGTTACAGTTTCCAGACTCAGTGGGTTCAACTGCAGAAGACAAGGCCAGGGAAAAATCTCATTTCCAAACAGTTATTCCCATCTCATCCCCACTTCCTACTGCATTTGCAGGTGGAAAGAACAACAACTGGTTGTGTAACATGTTTTGAAGGAGCTGAGCAGTTACAGGCAAGGATGACTTTCCCTGTGTTTTACCAGTCCCTGGAATCAGGGATCCACATGTCTGCAGGTTTTGGAGCAGTGACACTATGGAATCTGCTGCTGTTCCAAACAGGAAACTAACTGTAATAGCTGCTACTGTGGCAAAAGGAAGAATGAAACATCAGACGAAGCTTTTAACCTTCTACAGAGGTAAGAACATATACAAATGCAAAATTTGTACTTGCCAAAGGTCAGAAGGTACCTTTGGTTTAACTTTTATATGAGAGCAGTATGTAAAGTTCAGCAATAGCTACAGAGGGGAAAGCTGTAGAACATGAATGACTTTTAAAATTACTTTTCCTGACTATATTCTAAGAAGTCTTTAATTCAGACTGAAAGCACATTCAGTCAGATGAACTTCATGGTATTGAAGTATCTTAAAAGCATCGAGTTACCAATAACAATAATTGCATCACATACTCTGTGGTATTTTTTGATTTAAAATTTGCATTTTACAATGGATGTTTCTGCATTATTTAGAACTACATTTCCCTTTTTGCTAGTTCTTATAATTTCTCTTCCTGAAAAGGCCCTTGTTCAGAAAAAGTAAGTTGCCTTATGCTTGTAAGGTGTCATAAGTTTATCAGTTGAGGAAACAGATTTTGATTTCAAATGTCTAAATTTCAGAGAGTT